AAAGCCAAAGGCCGAAGCACTCAAGCAACTCATGCTCAGTTGCCAGGCACACATTCGAGGTTAGAACTTCTTCCGAACGGCATCGACCTTTTTCACAGGCTATCTCATTTTGATGCTGCAATGGAACAAGAACATCTCCAGAGGCAAACGTGTCGACACTTTGTTGTAGCGCATGACACCCCACAAGACATGTAGCAAACTTGTGCGAGCGCTGCTCACCAAGACAGCGATTTGCATCATTGGCTTGCCTCAGGTCTGAGAAAGAATCCGTCACATCGCAGCAAACGCTGAAAAGGCCCCGTCGCTTCGGGACACTTTCACTGCAGCCAAAAAGTGCCAGTGCCAATACAACGGCGTGTTATCTGTTGTAAGGAAATGCTAAGGAAGTGGCACCTGCAATAGCTAGCAGAACTATTCAAGATTATATGGCATCAGGTCACAGTGTTTCACACAGGCAAGTTGGAAGCAGCCACCAATGTCAATCATGTAATTACTCGCCGCAATATCCTGTTCGACACCATGCTACTCTGCCATCACGATTTCAGCATGAAACGTACGAGTTGTCCTGTCCTTCACCCTTGAATGCAAAGTACGATACCACCCTCCAAAACTTGCTCAATGGATCTCTCCTTGCTGCCTGCCTTCATTCCGTGAAGCTCCATGTGTAACAGAGCCCTTGCTTCTCGGATGCATGATCTGCAAAGGGTCGTACAGGAGAGAACGGTGGCGTACAGTTGTCATGCCATTTGATTATGCATATCAAGCAAGACACGAGAGAGAGAGAGAGAGACATATATATATATATATATTATAGATATAAATAAAGGAAAAAAAAGAAAGACGAAAGAAAGAAAGAAAGAAAGAAAGAAAGAAAGAAAGAAAGACAGAAAGAAAGAAAGAAAGAAAGAAAGAAAGAAAGAAAGAAAGACATAAATAAGGAAAGAAAGACAGAACGAACGAAAGAAAGAAAGAAAGAAAGAAAGAAAGAAAGACAGAAAGAAAGAATGCAAGAAAGCAAGAAAGCAAGAAAGCAAGAAAGCAAGAAAGCAAGAAGGCAAGAAAACAAGAAAGCAAGAAAGCAAGAAAGCAAGAAAGCAAGAAAGCAAGAAAGCAAGAAAGCAAGAAAGCAAGAAAGCAAGAAAGCAAGAAAGCAAGAAAGCAAGCAAGAAAGAAGGAAAGAAAGAAAGAAAGCAAGAAAGCAAGAAAGCAAGAAAGCAAGAAAGCTAGAAAGCAAGAAAGCAAGAAAGCAAGAAAGCATGAACGCAAGAAAGAAGGAAAGCAAGAAAGCAAGAAAGCAAAAAAGAAGGAAAGAAGGAAAGAAGGAAAGAAGGCAAGAAGGACAGAAGGAAAGAAGGACAGAAGGAAAGAAGGACAGAAGGAAAGAAGGACAGAAGGAAAGAAGGACAGAAGGAAAGAAGGACAGAAGGAAAGAAGGAAAGAAGGAAAGAAGCAAAGAAGCAAAGAAGCAAAGGAGGAAAGAAGGAAAGAACGAAAGAACGTTCACCAAGTGTTTCCTAGGATCTTCTTGGTGTGACATCGCTTCGGGATGCAACTGTGGTGGCTGCCATCTCAACAATCCGGATCCTGCATTTGCTGCCCGCTAGCCGAATAATAATCAAAAACGTTTGCTGTCAATTTCAAGGGCATACATCTGATAGGCAAGTGCTCTGGGTCTGTTTTTTTTCAGGGTACCGGTTTCGGGGGTGGTTTGACGGGAAATCAAAAGGAAAACCACCTATTTGTAGGGTGTCCAAAAAAAAACAAGCGCCCTTCTGACGTTAAGAGGGCAAGCGTTTGAGACAGGTTCGACTGGAGAAGGCAAGGTGCAACAGCCTCAAGTGCTGGCTGGCTTTCTCCTGGACGTATTCAGCTCAAGTCAGATTGCAGGCAGCCTGCTTCAGTTGAGAGAGTCCTTCGGCTTCTTCGGCAAACAGATCCTGGGCAAGGACGAGGTGTCTTCCAGGGACATCCGAGCAAATTCCTTCCGTTTGCGAGCTGGAAACTTTAGCTGGGCGGATACCAATGGTTTGCTTCAGAGCCATGAGTGCGGACCAAACATCAAAAATCAGTCACCCCCTCGAAACGCTGTCAACATGAATACAAGGGCACCCCAAATAGGGACAAATCCCATGTTTGCGTCTACCCGCCTTGGGCAGCATGTCAACCAGCTCTGCCACCGCCACAGCAGCTACAGCTTGTTGGGCGTCCAAATAGCTTTTGCGCTCTATGGCCTCCATCAGCAGCCGCTCAAAACTCCCTAGATGCTTAGCTGGGATGCTAAAGAGGTGCGACCCTAAGACATACATTTTCATACATGTTTCGCAGCATGCCCTTCAAACAAGAAAATCTTCACTGAGACACGATTTGCAAGCCACTCGATTGCAGTCACTGTGGGCCTTGCTCTCCCAGTACCTCTTCTTCTTCCTTGGATTTCGCTTTGCTTCCGCTGGGGAGATCATCTCAGCCTTTTTCCACGCCGGCACGCGTGTGGTAAAGCGCAGCCGCCGCCTTGCCGAGGCTCTGGCAAAGATCAGGGAAACACATGAAGGTTCGAAGCTCAGCCCAAAGAAAACTTCTTGCTTGCGTTTTGCTTTGAAAGCCACACCAACGCTCCGCCCTGTAAGCGGAGTCCGAGCCTACGCTCCGCCCTGTAAGCCACACCATCTCAGGGAGTCTGAGCCTACGCTCCGCCCTGTAAGCTCCTACGCCCTGTAAGCTCCTGGCTGGGAAGGTCCCAGGGGAGGAACTGTGACCTGGACTTCCGTGATCGGCGACTGCCAGACTTGGGCGTGATCTTCAGCCTGCCAACTCAAAGCAAGTGCTTTGGGCAAATGTTGAGCCGTCTGGTGCTTAGTGCACGAACCACTGAGCAAAGCACGTCCAATTTCGCGCAAGATGCTGCATTGGACAAGAACATGAGTAAGAACCAATCATCACTACTGCTCTTCAATTCTCTGCGAGGCCTCATCCGGACGAGCAGGGCGACACTGGAATTTCAAGTCATTCCTGGCCAGCTTTCTGCCAGTCCTGCCAGACAAGCCTGTGGAAAGCGCATTCCTAGCTTGGAGTCGAGCCTTTCCATGACGCGCTCCATCAGCTGAAAGAGCTTGATCTTTGGCTCCACCTTGGAGCATGCAACAACCTAGCTCTCTCTGTGAGACTCCCTCCTTAACGTTCACAATGACGTTGACAACCACGAGCATTGCAGCAAACTGACAAAACAACCAACTCCCGCCTTTACAAGACAGGACTCATTTGGGGTGGCGGAAAAACTAGCGACAGCAGAAGCATACGCAACAGCAACTGAACATTTAATACCTGTTAGGCAACCTCCCTGGCAAGGGTCCATATTGCCTTGCTTGCTTTCTGCTTGCGGCAAGCACATCCTCCCGCGCAAGTCAGTCAAACCGCGATCGAGCTGTACTGCTGGTTGCGTCGCAAGTTATCAATATGCTGACATAATCGCAAAAGAAAAACCAGAAGCATCCACGAATGTTCCGCGACTCCATAGCCGCACACTTGCTCCATCTCTGCACCCCAGCGAGCTCTCTCGAGCCACTGTTGCCGCAGCAGATGCCGCTTGCCAGCGCAGCATGTAATCATACAATGTAATCACGTCGCATTCACGTGTGCTTGCGGGCTTGCTGCAGCCTACGGTGTTGTGCAGCTGATCGTTTTTGCACACACTGGCGCTGCCAATGAAGCAGCTAAAACCAATGTCTCTTTCAAAGTTTGGCAATTGGTTGTTGTGCGGTTCCACAGGGAGGTGCTTCAAGACTACTCATGTCAGTCATTACAAAGAACAGCAGCTTTCAAACGAACGCAACATCATACCATCCAAGCAAGGCGCTTTCTCATCCAGCGCCGCCTTCCTCAAAGACGCTAGTGTGACCTCGGCGGATCGCTTGATATGTCAGATATGCTAGAGTGCTCCAAGGTCATTGAGAGTGCAGCCTCCTCTCCAACGCATGGTGGGTTAAATGGTTTCCGATTGGCATGTCACGAGCTGCAAGCATGTCTACCAGTACACTGCACACCCAAATTGAGCACTCGTGTGCCTACGCAAGTTGCATAGCTATCTGCTAATATTAATGTCCAGGGAGCATTTCTTGCCCTCAGCTGTCTTGGCAATTCCAACTTTGATGCGCCATTCCTTGCATCGCACACATGCCAACATTACATCTGTCAGCCCCTCGGTCAGCCAGGCACTCTGACGATGCAAAAAGTATTGGATTCTTGGATCACTTCAACCCAAGGCGCTTGAGATTCACCTGCGACACAACTTGAAGAGCGGCCTGCGCCGCGCTCTCCTTCGCCAAAGTGGCATCTAAGCCGCTGCCTTCGAAGAAGAACCGCTTCTTTCCCTGACGGGTTTTGCCACCCCAGAGGCCCTATAGCAAAAACAGCATGACTCAATTTGGCCACTGCCAAAAGGGCTAAACATTGTTGGCCCAGGAGGGCTTGTGAGAGTTAGACAGGAGCGCACCTTGGGTTTCCGCTTTAGTCCAACCTTTGGCATGTTATTTCCACAAGACTGATTGTTGCTTTGTGGCGCTTGCAGTTGTATCAGACGTCGTTCCGAGTTTCTGAGGGTTGATCACAGGAAATGCAGCGTGTTGCATCAACGGGGGGGTTTGCCGCACCCGCAAGAAACACAGTTGCGCACGAATCGTATGCGTGTTACCACTTTTTTGTGTGGAAAACTTATTTTGCGTTTCTTCACCCTTGCAGGCCCGGGGAGGCGGGGGGTTCTAGGGGGGTCTGTTTTCGCGCTGGTTGCGCGCGCGACATCGGCTGGTATCGCAGTTGTGCTCGACCAACGCCACGGCCCTCACGCTGCCGTCGTGCAAGTTTGCGGCACTTGCAAACATAGCTGTTTACGCGCGCAAAAACACCTGCGATTTACCAGCGTTTGGGCAGCAAACTTGCCCTGCGTTGCCCTTGCAGGATGAGAAGCGTGGGAGAAGCTAGATGGTGAGTTGGCCTGTTTCGAGCTGGCCCTGCGCGCGCATCAGTTCGCAGCGCCAGGCCGGCCTGATCCTTCACGCGACGCGCGGCAGCCCCCGTTGACCCAGACCCTCCAGCGATATGTTCAGCACGGAAGCTTGTAGGACGCGTTGCTGCAAAACATGTCCAAGGTGCAACCACGCCTCTTGTTTGGTTGCACACAAACGGGAGGTTGATCAAGCGGAGCCTGGTCAGGGCCTCTTTCACAAGGATAAACCAGCTCAATCTATGGCAATCGCGGGATGCCCGTCAGGATCTCTAATCAGGCTGTATCAGCCTTGGTCTCGCGCGCCCTGCGGAAGCGGGGCGAAATGAATCGAATGGCTCCCATGTCTAAGTGTCAGACACACAAGATTGCACAAGCAATTGCACTCCCTGCTATCTTCGATTGGTGAGAACCAGCTTATTTCCGTTAGGAGGCGGCGGCTCGATCGGCCAACTGGCTGTTGGTAACGGATGATGGACATCAGGTTGCCCGGCTCCCGGTCCACCCGTCTTGCGTCACCAAGTCGCAGCACATGTGCTGGAACCCCCCGCGCTGCGTGGGTTGGTAGTCCTGGATCAGGATGTCGGCCAACAGCTCCCGGGCAAAGAGGCCAGCGTCGATGCCCGCATCAAGACTCATCGTCTCAGCCGCCAAAGCGCTTCTGCATTTCCTCTTGATGCGATGCGACTTCCAAGCCCGATCGCCCTTCACGGTGAAACCCACTGGCCCTGCGACACAAGGATGAACCAGCTCAATCTATGGCAATTGCGCTACGCGCGCCGCGGGATGGTTTGTTTTTATTCTCTCTAATCAGGCTGTGTCAGCCTTGGTCTCAAGCGCCCTGCGGAAGCAGGCGAAATGAATCCAATGGCTCCACATGTCTAGGAGGTTGCACAAGCAATTGCAAAAGGCTGCGCTGTGAAAGATTGGGATCGTATTCCTGAGCTAAAACCATAGAGCAGGGCAACACCGCCCAAAGCGTGGATAACAAAAAATCGGGGGACCGTCCCGCAACCTTGTGGTGAGTTTTGGCACAGGTTCAAGCATGTCTGCATTGAGCTTTCCATGTAGGTCTTATGAACCCGTTGCGCTTGCTACAACCGGGCTGTGTGACTCTTGAAGCTTGAGCCAAAAAGATAACGCTTCGGAGGGACAATAAATTCATTCTAGAGTCACTTACAATTTGATGTGAGAATAGGCGTTCTAGTCTTGGATCCAATCTGGGAATTAAGATTTGAGATCTCCCAGAAACGTGGTCCACAATCCTTTGTCCTGGAATTAGACAACACCTTGATTGAATCTAGATTTCCCGAGGTCCTAGGCCCAGGATTGAGCATACACAAATATGCTCAAAGAGCTGAAAATAGCAGTAAAATCTTGCTGGGGCATATGGCCTGTCACGCAAACGCATGCATGTGTGCATATATGTGGATACATGCATGTGTGCATGTATGTTGGTAGGTAGGTTTGTATGTATCTACGTCTGCGCGCAATGCATATCAGATCAACTCCTTCCAGGTGCCCCAACAAAGGGGTCTCTCAAAGCAGCTGGCGCTCTTGAGACAAGCACTTCTCACAATGTTGCACCACAATGCGCCTGCCATGGTACTCGCAGAACCACATGGTAGGAGTCTTCGTCCCGTCCTGAGACACAAAACTACACGCGCGCACACACACACACAAAAACAAGTAGATTGAAGGGGATAACGTTCACCGATCAAAGCCAAATGGTCATTGCCAACGGCAGTGTCAAAATGTCACCACACCGAAAGGCGCATCCAGTCAACGCACTTTCCTTGCCAAGTTGCGCGTGTAATACCGCAAATCCTGAGCCAGCAAGGTGAGCGCAGGGGATGGTAAATAGCCTTGTTGGGGAAGCGGCTGACCCGCCTTTTCAACGGGAGAAACTGTTGGCACAATTTTGCTGTCGTGAGCTGGGAAACTCCATCTCAGCAGTTCCAGCTTAAGCACAGCGGCGTATTTAAGAATCGGCCTCCCATGCAGAATTCGAAGAGCCTGGTTCAAGCGCCTCGGTCTGACAGCTTCTGCAGTCATATGGGCTTGGCCAAGATGAAGTACCCCAAATGGTTGGGCTCCTGTTCATTTCCCATTTCCCTTCAAAACCAATCAAACCAACAAAACACACCCAAATGCCACTTGATTTATGCTATTTGAAACGTCCACGTAACTCAGCTAGAGCCACTTCCTGGCAAGGCCATCAGTCGGCCGCGCATCTGCCAGTTTTGCCGCCGCAGTCGCCAAAGCCTTGCGAGATGTACGCAAACAGTTGTGAAGAACAACAGTTGCAAGACCTCCGTGCTTCTCAAAATTAGGGGTTCCTTCAGTCAGGTCGTAAGGGCCCCTATTTTGAGAAAGACCCCGATGCTGCGCTGTCAATTCAGGCTGAGCTTGACGTTTCTGGTTCGTCCCGTACGCCCCGATTCAGTCAAACCGTTAGCCCCAATTTTTCCCAAGCAGGGTTCTTCTTCACGAGGGTTTTCTTTGCTCGGCCTTTGCTCACACTTGGAGGCGCTGAAACGTCCCAGCGGACCAAACTCCGCGCTCGCGTTTTCGGAGTTTCTGAACAACTTGCACGCCGCAGCGAAATGCTCTTTGAGTCCCCAAAAAACCTCCCAGAAAGAGGGCTCAATTTTAGAGCATTTTGCGGTCAAGTTGTAACGCCCATTCCCTGCCTTCTCCCTTTTCCCATCTTTGCAATCGCAATGACAGGCTGCTGCTCCACATCTAAACCAAAGCAGTCGAGCGGGCGCGCTTACCATGGTCAGAGAGTCGGGCGGGTGCACTTACCATGCTCAGGCGTGCGCGCAGTGTAAAAAAGAAGCAGCCGAGCGGGTGCGCTGACCATGGTCAGGAGCGCGTGCAGTGTAAAAACGAAGCAGTCGAGCGGGTGCACGAAGCAGTCGAGCACACACACACAGACACAGACACAGACACAGACACAGACACAGACACAGACACAGACACAGACACAGACACAGACACAGACACAGACACAGACACAGACACAGACACAGACACACACACACACACACACAGAGACACACACACACAGACACACACACAGACACACACACACACACACAGACACAGACACAGACACACACAGACACACACACACACACAGACACACAGACACACACACAGACACACACAGACACACACACAGACAGACACACACAGACACACACACACACACAGACACACACAGACACACACACAGACACACACACACACACACACACACACAGACACACACACACAGACACACACACACAGACACACACACAGACACACACACAGACACACACACACACACAGACAGACACACACACACACACACACACAACACACACACACACACACAGACACACACAGACACACACACACAGACACACACACACACACACACACACACAGAGACACACACACACACACAGACACACACAGAGACACACACAGAGACACACACACACACACACAGAGACACACACAGAGACACACACAGAGAGACACACAGAGACACACACAGAGACACACACAGAGACACACACAGAGACACACACAGAGACACACACAGAGACACACAGAGACACACACAGACACACACACACACAGACACACACAGAGACACACACAGAGACACACACAGAGACACACACAGAGACACACACAGAGACACACACAGAGACACACACAGAGACACACACAGAGACACACACAGAGACACACACAGAGACACACACAGAGACACACACACACACACACCTCACGCTCACGCTCACGCTCACACTCACGCGCACGCTCAGAACGGGACCTGCGCGTATCTGGCCCCACACAGGCGCATATCCGACCATCTCTGGTTTGTGTGTGTGTGTGTGTCTGACCGGCATCTGTTATCTGCATCTGACTGCCTAGTTTTCAGGCGGACTTTCTAAACATCGTCCAACAACCCTTCTAACGTGCGGAGAAAACCCAAGCAAGGGCTCCATCAAATCCAGGCCTGCGGGGAGGTGCTGGCTTCCCACGATAGCCACCTTGTAATCTCGGAGTCCGCCTCGCAGCAAAAGCCCTTTGGTTTCCTGGGCTCCTCTTGCTGTCAAAGTGGGGGACCCTCAAAAACACGGTGCACTCAAAAAAAGACACACCCCTTGATTTCCCTTTTGGTTTCCTTTTGGGCATATCTTCTCTCCCTCTCCCTCGCCTCCCGAATAGCGGCCAGGGCCTTCCGCGCGGCCTCCTGCTCGGCATCCTCTCAGGCACAATCTGCGGAGATCAACATGGGTCTGTGTTTGTTGGGCACCCTTTTCACCTCAGTTTAATGGGAAATCGAAAGGGAAAGCCATCTTTTTTGGGGTCCCCTTACTTTGACACATACCCCACTACCAAGCCGCTTCCACTCCTTGTGGTTGGAATACCCTTCCTCCCACTAACATGGCACCAGTGGGAGGGTACCTAGTAAAAAAAGTTGTTTCTTGGAGGGACCCTTGTCGAGTGCCATGTGAGTGGGGGTAGATGGCGCTGGTCAATGATCAGAGCCAATCCAAAAACAGTGCCTTCTTTTCACCAAACTGAACAAAAAGGACACCTGTAGTTTCACTAGTTCTGTCCGCGCATGCTTCTCAGCTGCCTCCAGCGAATCACCAACTCCGTGGTAGTAGTGGAACAGCATTGCCTCGGACAAATGCAATACATGTGCAAACAATGCCCGCCACTAATGCAAGCTCCAGTAGCCGCCACGAATCGCATGCACGACACTAATCATAAAAAGCTGCACACGTGTCAAAAGCCAAATGCAAGTATTGTCCAAGTCACGGGAATGTAGTTCCTCAGCGACAGTGGAACATAACAATCAGGCTCAAAACATTGTCCACTATCCACATCCTTCAAGCTAAGGCTCAACATCTCTTTGACAATACAGTCGAATATGACTCCGACTGGAGCGGTGCACATGACTTAAGACACACTTGCATGTGTTTGTTGCGGATGATTGGACTGAATTTCAGGTCCAAGACTTCATCAATAAGCCAGAACAGTCCGGGTCTTTGATAGGCCGTGAAGCGATGGAGTTGCTGGTCTTAGGGGCATTAGGCGGCAATTTGTTTCGGGAGCTGGCTTTGGCTCAGGAATCAACAGTCTGGGAGCCAGTTCTTGATGTTGTGCTTACGGAGGCTTGGCTTCTGAATGCCAAAGATGTCGTGTTTGAGAAGCTGTTGCCAGTCTGTATCCAAATCCTTGGCAGAGCCCTGATATCCACCCCACTGCACCGTTTCAGACCGAGCCCACTTCCCGGTGGCACACAGCCAGTTCTGTGTTTCGCAACAAGGAAACGGGTTTGACGGAGTTTGAAAAGAGATGTTGGCCTTGGATTCAAAAAACACAGCCAGTTCTGGGCACAGCTTCGGAATGCTTTGAGGGTTTAGGGGCGACTTGGGATGGGCGGCTTTGGGGGTTGTCTAAGACTGGATGGGTTTGCTTATGGAAAAGACTGCTGCGAAGGTGGCACTCCAAATCAGGCGTTGCTGATGTTCTGCTTTCTCTTGCTCCCCGTCCCAAGCACGGCCAACTGTTGTTGCTGCTGGCGCTTGCAAGCATGCGCGCGCAAGAGCCCCAGAACCTGAAGACCAGACCAAGCGTCGAGCCATCCGGCATCTTTTTCGGAAGCGCTGGAATTCGCAAGAGCGCATAGTAGCGATCCTGTGTCTCGGTGCATCGGTGGAAGTATGGAGTTTCCGATCTGTACACCTTGGGTTCAGCTTCACCCAAATCAGTCATGAACTCGGCTTTGGCAGAAACTGCTGCAAGGCGCCTCGTGGCGCCCAAGGACGCGCTGCAGAGCGCCGTGGATGTGCGACTTGGGGAGGACTGACATCTGGTCATCAGTGACCTCGGTGAAATTCAATTGGCGATCCTGTGGAGGACATCATTCACATGGGGGTTATGTCCGACCATCTTTGAGGGGTTTCTGTGAAGAGCATGGCCTGAGCGCGATGTCTCTGGAAAGTACCAAGCCACTGTCTGGGGGACCACCAGAGCATCACGCTGGCAGTGGAGTCCGCGCGCACGGGCTGCTGTGCCAACCCAGTCCCTACCAGGCACTGCCTGGCAACAGCGCAGTCTAAAACATGAGAAAAAAATCAAAGTATGCCTGGTGCTAGAAAGTGCAGCCTAGGCAAGTTAATCGCTCACTCCCCATCCCAGCCAGCAGCAGAGCTAGCGCCCAAAGCAGCCGGGCGCGGCGCGACATACTGGACTCGGAGAATCCGGGCTCCGCGTCTTGGCTTGGCTGGTGTTTGCTCAGGGCCTGTCGAAGCTTCAGGGCCTTTGAACTGCATCTGAAGTAGAAGGAAAGGAGCTGTTTGATGTCGGCTGTGTTGCATCTACGCACTGTCCTGCAGCATGTGTTCAAGCAGCTTGTTCCAGACGATTGCGGGTACTTGCATGTATGACCCGTCGCTGCCAAACATGATGAATAGCCCGCGAGTCCAATACAAAGCCCGGCGCAAGCCCAATTTGGACGCGTCGAAAACTGTACGGAGCGCAAAGCTCGAAAGCACTGCAGAGCAGCGGGCTGAGAGCTATCCTGCTAAACGTTGCCTGTACTGAATTCAAACAATAGAGATATGCCTCCTTGAGCCTTGAGCCGATGGGGCGGTCCTTCAGGTGACCCTCTAGGTGCCGGCCGCAAGCGCCCGCTCACCTCGCGTGGAGTGCGGCACCACCGAGCATGGCGAACATCACCACCTGAGGCGATGTGAATTCCACGAGAGCTGACCGTGGAAAGGTTGACCGTTGGTCTCCAAATGGGCCCGTTCAAACTCTGGGGGCCCGTTCAATGCGCGATCAGGAGACCTGATCTGGCCATGACTTTGAATGGCACATGTTGGACATAAATCTCCATGTCCACCAAAAGGATCCCTACTTCAAATCCATACCCACCACTTCCTCCCCAACCCCCCCGACCCTCTTCCCCCTCCCAGGACCAGGCACAAAGGACGCCCCCCGCGCAACTCCGCCCAGGGTGGAGTTCATCGCGCCCAGCGGGAATCGCACCTGGGGCGATGGCTGGGCAAGAGGTGGGCAATCAGGCGCCCAAGCTCAGAAGTGGCTAAGTGGCCATGGGTCAAAAGCCAAATCGTACCCCCAGTGAACATCCGATTCAATCCAACCACTAAAATAGGTCCTAAAATGGGTGGTGCACCTATCCCAAAATGGTACCATTGGTTTTGACCCACAGCCATATGAGTGTGGTTTTCCAAAAAAGGGTAACCCCAAAACGGATTGGAAACAAAGACTCAAACCTGTGGTTTAATTTGACCCATGCCCTGCCTTTTTGCTGGTACGTTTTGCGGTGTGTGTGTGTGTTAAAGGGAAACCAAAAGGAAACCGAAGCCAAACCATGGAGGGCCCTCCCCAAAAAAAACACCTTTTGGTGCAATTAGTTTGGTGTTGTGACCCTTTTTTTGGGGCTGAAACAAACGGGACAGCC